AATAAGAAAACTTTGCTAGAATAATCCCGAGGAAAGCATAGCCTAGAATCTATTTTTTCATTCTTGATTTATTTAGAACAAGCCTTCATTAGTGTTAGAATTTATTTTTGCATTCATTCATTAGTTTAGAATAAAAACTCCAATCGAATTTGCATTAGTCTAGATAATATTTAATCGTCGATATTTTGGTACTTAATTGGTTTAAACAACAGTCTCTGTGGAATACGACCTTGCTCGCCGCTTTCTGCAGCTACTCCGTACACTTGCGGGTAGTGAAAATATTTTGCGAACAGGTACTTTTATATCACTTTTACTAATATAATCCTTTAATTCGTTGTATTTTACATAGTGAGACACTAAGTGACTAATATATCCTTCCTTGAATTTTGATTTGTTTCCTTTAATAAGCTATTGAATTATAAATGTATTTTAAAAGTTGATAACTTTTGTATTTCTTATCGGTTTTACATATATAATATATCAAATTAATCATCTTTTGATGATCTTCGATTTAACATTCATATTGTATATATGAAATAAATAAATTATATTAATCTTTATAATAATAAAAAATAATAATACTTATTAAAATTCATTAGAAAAATAAAATTATTTCTCAATTGATATATTTATATGTAATGTAGTTATATATTGTAAGTTAAAAAAAAAATAGTATAATATAACACAAGTAAGTTGGAATAAAAAATGTCATAATAAATATATAATAATATATATATTCTTATAAAATGTATTTAAATTTTCAAACTATTTTTCTCATTAATTTTAGATTTTAAGAAAAAAATTAGCAAACACTTATGTAATACACGGGTGTTGTACTAGTATTTAATTTATAATACAATCGTAATATTGTTTCCTCGTGCATGACACGAGTATCATCGCACGAGTATCATCGTAATTTCGAACGAATACACGGACCGAAACATTAGGGTGGGAAAAAAAGTTTCTTTTTTAGTTATTAACTAATTAATTAACCCCTTAATAACAAGCCAGTATGTAAAACCACCTTCAACTCGACCAATCATGCAAGTTTTTCCTTCTAAAACCCAAATCTTTTTTCTTGATATCTGTACATGGTAGTTTGATTGCCTACAGGCTTCCTCAAAAGAAACGTACAAGGTTTCTACTTTCCGAACAATACTCTCCGGGGAAGGGCTTTCTTTCCATTATACGAACTCTTTCTGACGGCAGCGGCGGCGGCCCACGGCGAAGGCAAGAAGAAAACGAACGAAACTGCGAGCGCCGGCGAGTTGCCCCCCTTCTCCAACTCCGTCCGATCAGTTTCGTACTGGAACCCCAACGACTCCCCCGTGCTCCGTTCGAATTTTCGCGACAGCCCATTTCCTTTTTTTTTTTTTC